CCAAAGCCCAACGCGCGCACACACACACTCGGACATGCTCACACTCAGCATGCAGTTCCTGGCAGCCAGGTCCTGGGCATGTTTCTTCTGGTGCTCAGACACTCCGTGCTGCTGGCAGTGTCTGGCCTGAACTCCACCAGCCTCTGAGCAGGCCGGGCACAAAGCAGCTGTCTTCACATCGATTCCAGCAAGAGAAGACCCTGTGTGCGTCAGAATAGGACCGTGCCCCATTGCTTTGGGCTCGTTTGCTTTTCTAACGGCTGGTCCTTGGGAAGCAGATCGCCAGTCTTTGCTTCCAAGGTGCCTCGGGTGGTGTGGACGTGGACTGCCCACCTGGTGGTCAGCAGCCCATCGCTTAAACCACCGGTGGTTACATCATTATCTCCGGCCTCCCCCTCTGACTTGGTCACAATTGCCCTTGCCCCTGGTGTACACCCCAGTGACACCTGTTAGCAGGTCCTCCTGCTCCCCAGCAAACCATGCTTGTCAGACCTCAGTGGGGCATCTGGGGCTTCAGGCAGAGAGCATTTTCTTCCCTTCTAAGCCTGGATTTGTAGCAATACACATGGGGCCAAGAGAGACCAGTCCCCAGAGAAGGACAGCATGCTCGGTAAAGTAGAAGGGCAGCAAACAGGAGGCAGAGCCCTGCCACAATGAATTGACCCAGTAGCTGCCACCATGGGCTCACCGTCAGAACAGCTGTGAGGATGGCCGGGACCGGCAGTGTGTGGCTTTGTGGCATGTAGGGTGGTTGTGAGCCGAACGGGCTCAATGGCACCAATAGCAGGTGGTTTGCTGTGGAACATAAGTGGTTCCAGAGACACGGGAGGGCTGGGGCTCGGAGGAGCCGTCACAGACGTGAGTGTAAGCATGACAAGATTCCGGAACCAGGAAGGGAGAAACATGCCTGCGAATGTCAGGGACCGTGGGAACAGTGGAGAGGGCCCTGTCTGCAGCTCTGAGTGGAGCCTGATGTTGAGCTCGGGGTCAGGGAGCGGTGCCCGCAAAAATGCCTCGTAATCCTTGGCTGCTGCCACATGCTGCCCTGGCCAACTCCATTAATGACCCGTTCAATCCTCTAAGACAGCAGAACTGCCCCATGGGGCTTCTGAGACTCTAAGTCTTTATGGAAGCAAACGACTTCATCTCCCTCCTGCAGGGTGGCTAACTGGATTCAAACCACCGACCTTTCGGGTAGCAGCCCACACTTCAATGCACCTCTTTGCAGAGGCCAGGTGTGAGCCAGGGAGGTATAGGCATCCTGTGCAGCCTGCCCACTCAGCAGGGCAGGAGTTTAGAGAAGCACACCAACGTGGAAGCTCACCAGCCCATGTCCATGGCCTCATCCGCAGCTGGAGTACTGGTCCATGTTCTCATCCACAGAAATGTATACTCCAGGGAGGTGTATTCTGAAAGCCTTCCCAAGGGAGCGATGCGCTACCTGGGCCTGCCTGGCTTGCCTGGAATGGGTTCTTCATGCCTGTCCTCACTGACCCCACTCCTCACACACCCCACGCCCAACAACTGGGTCCCACATCTGCATCTGGCAACAGTGCCCACCGAGAAGTGAGTACCTTACTTTGTAGTGCTTGCATCCACGTCTACTTCCCACTTAAGGAAAGCAAGAGCTGCCTTTCCTTTTCCACATAAGTGGAAACACACATTTCTACGCGGAACAGAACTACGGTGAAACTGTGAGGGTGATAACCACACACGGTCATGTTCCCTTCGCACGCTCGCCAAACACTCATCTGGCTGCGTCCCCGGCGCTCTGTGGGCGCTTGCTACAACAGAGGCAGCAGCGTAGCATGCAGACTTGTGGGGTATTCTACGGGGCCCTGCCCTTCCCGGGCTGCTTCCCCTTGCAGGTGCTGATGCCTTTGCGTCACGCAGGCTGTGGAGGCTCACCTGGCGCACAGATCAACACGGGGCACATGCAGGTCACTGTGGACTGGGCACGGGAAATGGACAGGAAGCAGAGTCCCCACTTCTATGGTTCCGTGACTCCCTCCTCACCTGCCTGATCCGGGTTTCTTCAGCGTCCCGGTTTCTCCCTGATGTGTTGAGCCCCCTGATATGTGCTCGGCAGTGGGTGACATCCTGCAGGCATTTCGTTATCAACAGCCCTACCACGTAACCGCGGTGTTACAGTGACAGCGAATGTATCGGTTGTGTAGGTTGTGGGAGGGTGGAGCTTTTGGCCATTCTTTAGGTAGGGGCCCACGCACTTCTGTTAAAGGTGAAGGGAGATTTGGGAAAAGTATAGCAGTGATGGTTGTACAATGTGATGAAAGCAATTAACATCACTCATTTGTACATGCAAAAGAAAGTTGCCTAAGTGTGTGTGTGTGTCTTATGTTTGAAATGAACCTTTATGCTGTTCAAGACCCCCAGTCCACTTCCGGCAGATGGTGTCTGACACCTGGTTGGAACACAGTATTCGTGGATGCTTCTCTGCCTCCACTAACCCTGGTGGCACAGTTGGGCTACTAACCACAAGGTCAGCAGTTCCAAACCACCAGTGGCTCTGCAGGAAAAAGATGAGGCTGTCTACCTCCATACAAAGTTACCGGCTTGGAAACCCCCAGGGGCAATCCCACCCTATCCTGTGGGGTCGCTGTGAGTCAGCACCGACTCATGGCGGAGAGCTGGGTCGGGTCTGGCTTTCTGTGGTCCAGGCACTGTGCCGATGGCTTTATATGCGGGGTCTTTGAAAAGTTCCTGGGGAAGTGGAATGGCAAGATAAGGGAACTCCCCACCCCTTTCTGTAGCCTCCTCGTACCTGTTTCCAGATCGAATCCTCCAACAGCCTCTCGAGGCAGGTGTTAGTATCGGCCCTTTTGTACAGACAGGAGACTGATGGACAGCTTGTAGAGGCGCGGCTGGGATGGGAGCCCGCGCGTCACGGCTTCTTTCCTCATCGCGCCTCCGCTTAGGCCTCTGCCACCAACTGAGGGCCCGGCTGCCCAATCACTCCGGCCTCAGGCCAGCCCCCACGGACAGCAGTCAGCTCTTGGAGCAGCCACGCCTGGGCCAGGGGCCCACATCGTTCTGGTTCGCTTGGCTCAGGGGTGAGGGGGCAATCTCTCTGACAAAGAAGGGACCTGGCTTCCCTGTGGCTCCTTGAGCAGCGGCTCTGGAGGGTGGTGGTCCTCAGAGCACTGCCGGCCCCTGGGGTGGGGGTGGGGGGGAGCATCAGCACATCTGACCCTTAGTCTAGGCCCAGGCTATTGCTGGGACTATAAAGCCCAAAGCAGATGATCCTGCCTGGGGGGACGGGCTGCGGGTTCTATGCAGTGACCCTGCCTGGAGGGACAGGCTGTGGGTTCCAGACAGTG